TTAGATATTAATTTAATTTATTATACTAAAAACGTTTTAATACTTAAAGTTAGCTCAAATAATTTTATTGAACCGAAGTATCGTCAAAAAAGCACTCGGTGATGAGTCAAATGAGATTCGGATCCAAATGGAGGAATTGGATAAGGGGCTCTTTATCTTCAAGTCCCATGCATTTCGATTCTAGCTGGTTCATCAACGAAGGAGTTTTCTATCTCAAAAGGGTTCGTCGAGGTGGCCCTTATCTCTATTCCTTTTTATCATAGTCACGGAGAGGTTTGACGTGGCTCTACGTCCAACATGCAATAAATCTCTCTTTGACGGCATAAAGATTCCAAATAACAAATTAGTGGTTTTACACATCTTTTATGCAGACGATGCAATTTTTGTGGAAGAATGAAAACAATATAGAAAACTTAGTTTAGATCCTTCAATGTTTCCATGTTACTTCCGGTTTAAAACTCAACTTCCATAAATCAAAGATGTTTGGTATTGGGGCGTCTAGTAGGGAAACTTCTAGTTGGGTAAGCTACTTTGTTGTGAATCTGTGTCACTCCTTTTCATGTACTTAGGTGTCCCGATGGCGGCCAATATGACTCTCAAGAAAAATTAGAAACCTATAACTGATCAGTTTCAATCAAAACTCTCTACTTGGAAAGCTAGGACCTTATCATTCGGCGGGCGACTCACACTCATTAAGGTGATGCTTGGTAATCTACTAATATATATATATATATATATATATATATATATATATATTACTTCTTATTGTAATTAGAAACCAAGCAACAATTATATGTTTGCTTATGGTTTCTTGTGTTTAGAAGGCTATGAAAATAGAAAGATAACAAACTGTTTCAGTTTCATATATGTGTTCTTAAATCAAAATGCAGGAAATGAATACATTTATACAAGTTATCTTCTAACTAGTATGTAGACCATTTGTTGGTAATCATTTTAGGAGGAGCTACACACATGCTGGAAGATGCTCACTTGCTGGAAAGAAGAAGCAAGGCTGGAAAGTCTAGAGCTGGAAAGAAGAAGCAAGGCCATGTGAGAGCTGGAAAGTCTAGAGCTGGAAAGTGTGGGAGCTGGAAAGTCTAGAGCTGGAAAGTATTCTAACACTCCCCCTCAAGTTGAGCAGTGGGATCTCCGATACTCAACTTGTCCAAACAGTGATTGAAGATTTTTCCAGTGACTGCCTTTGTCAGTATATCTGCTAACTGATCTTCGGATCGTACAAATTGAATCTCGATTATTCCTGCTTCTAGTTTTTCTTTGATGAAGTGTCTGTCAATTTCTACGTGTTTTGTACGGTCATGTTGAACAGGATTCTCTGAGATTCTGATAGCTGCTTCATTGTCACAAAACAATTTGGTTGGAATTTTTTGTGGAAACCCAATCTCATTCATTAGCTTTCTTAACCACAAAATTTCTGTGATTCCTTTTGCGATTCCTCTGAATTCTGCTTCGGCACTTGATAGGGCTACAACCATCTGTTTTTTGCTTCTCCAAGTGACCAAGTTTCCTCCGATAAAAGTGAAGTATCCTGCAGTAGATCTTTTATCATTTGGGTTACCGCCCCAATCTGCATCAGTGAAGGCTTCGATCTGAAGGTGGCCATTGTTTTTAAATACAACACCTTTTCCAGAGGATCCTTTTAGATATCTGAGTATTCTCGTCACAGCTTCCATATGATGCGTCTGCGGCTCGTGCATAAACTGACTTACAACCCCTACAGCATAGGAGATGTATGGTCTAGTGTGAGCTAGATAGATTAGTTTTCCCACCAGCCTTTGATATTTTTCTCGATCTGCTAGTTCTGCTCCTTCCACTTTCTGGAGTTTGTGGTTTACCATCATCGGGGTATCGTTAGGTTTACAATCTAACATACCAGTTTCTGCAAGAAGATCAAGAATATACTTTCGTTGTGAGATAAAAATTCCTCCCTTGGATCGAAGAACTTCTATTCCTAGAAAGTATTTCAGTCTACCGAGATCTTTCATTTCAAATGTAGTGAAAAGATTTTCTCGGAGGCGCGAAATTTCTTCCTTGTCATTTCCTGTAATAGTCATATCATCAACATAGATTATGAGGAATGTAATCAGGGTCCCTCTTTTCTTTAGGAACAATGTGTGATCAGCATTGCTTTGTTTATACCCATATTGCTTCATAGCCATTGTGAATCTCCCAAACCATGCTCGCGGAGACTGTTTAAACCCGTACAAGGCTTTCTTGAGTTTGCAGACTTCATCATTTTTGAAATCATCTGAAAAACCTGGTGGTGCCTCCATGTAGACTTCTTCTTTTAGATCTCCATGTAGGAAAGCATTCTTGACATCAAACTGATGGAGTGGCCAGTCTTTATTTGCTGCAACTGAAAATAACACTCTAATTGTGTCGATCTTGGCTACGGGAGAGAAAGTCTCTGAGTAGTCAATACCATAGGTTTGGGTGTACCCTTTTGCAACGAGTCGAGCTTTGTATCTGTTGACTGTACCATCCGGGTTGTGTTTGACTGTAAATACCCAACGAGCTCCGACTGCTTTCTTTTTATCTGGAAGTCTACACTTATCCCATGTGTCAGCTTTCTTTAAGGCCTTCATTTCTGATCTCATAGCTTCTGCCCAGTTCTTTGACTGCAATGCTTGTTGCACTGTCGTTGGGATGTGTTCAGCATATATAGATGAAACAAATGCTTTGGCCTCGTCAGTCAATCTTCCTTTGGCTATGTTTGCTACCGGGTACTTTGGATTTCGAGATGCCTTCTCCGGAGAATATCTTTTTGGCGGAACTCCCCTATTAGCCCTTGGTGGTAGCACATATCTTTCTGGCACTTCTTCTTGTATTGGTTCCACAATTCATGTTGCTGTCTCATCATGATTGGGGGTTTCATCATGGTTAGAAGAATCAGTTTCTTGATTATCATCAGAGTTTTGGGAGTTACTTACCTCAGACAGTAGATCGGGAGGATTTTGGTTGTTGTTACTAACGCCGATGGATGGTACTACGTTTGGAAGTGACTCATCATTGGTACTGTGATTTGTGTGAGTGACTTCTTCTGATGATGATACATGCTTTAGCCAACTCAGTGAGTCTTCATGTTGAATCTCCCCCTGACTACTGAGTTGAGATTTGTAGAAAAACTCTGTTTCCAAGAAATCACAATTCATGGTGGTAAAGACATGATGTTTTCTTGGACTGTAACACCGATATCCTTTTTGATTAACCCCATAACCCACAAAGACACATTTTTCAGCACATGGTTCAAGTTTGGTCCGTGATGTTTTGGGTATGTGGACAAAAACAGAACATCCAAAGATTCGTGGTGGTAAGGTAAGAGATGGAGGAATTTTGGTAAATTCTGAAAGGGTTTGTAATGGTGTTTTTAGGTTGAGGGCTTTTGTTGGAAGTCTGTTAATGAGATAAGCAGCTATTGCAACTGCTTCAGGCCAAAAAGACTTAGGGACTTGTGAGTCAATTATGAGGGCACGGGTTATTTCAAGTAGGATACAGTTTTTTCTTTTTGCAACACCGTTCTGTTCGGGGGTATGGGGGGTGGTAGTTTGGTGGATGATCCCTTTATCTTTACAAAAAAGTTTCATGGAAGTGTTAACAAATTCACCACCATTGTCAGATCTAAGGATTTGGATGGGTTTTTGGTATTGGGTCTGAATCATGGTATAAAATTCCACATATTTGTCGGATACTTCTGATTTATGTTTCAAGAAGTAAATCCATGTCATGCGAGTGCAATCATCCACAAAAAGTAAGAAATACCTAAATTGTTGGCCTCCATTAATTTCGGTCGGACCCCACACGTCTGAGTGTATTAAAGAAAATGGAAATTCAACTTTGGTATTTGTGGGTTTGAAAGTGTGTCGGTGGCTTTTGGCCATTACACATGTTTCACAATTCAACAAGTTATTGGAAGGGGAAATTTGCGGAAATAAAAGATTCAAATAACTTTGGGAGGGATGTCCTAATCTCCGGTGCCATAACCATGTAGTTGCTTCTGTGGTTCCATGAGTCATCATCACAGTGCCTTGTTGAGTCATTTCATCCACGTAATATAATCCATGGCGTTCAGTGCCACGCCCAATAATCACTCCCGTTCTTATGTCCTGTAAGATACAAAAAGCTGGATACATTAGTACAATACAATTCAGCTCCTTTGTCACATGACTAATGGATAGTAATTTGTGGGACAAAGATGGCACATAGAGACAATTGGAGATTTTCAAATTTGGAGAAAATTCAACTGTTCCCCCTCCTTCTACCGACACTACACCACCATTTGCTGTTTGAACAAGGTTCTTAGTGGGTGTTGTATTGGAAATAAGATCGGATTGTTCAAATGTCATGGTGTCGGTTGCCCCGGAATCAAAAATCCAGTTTTTTTGTTTGTTATAAGTATTTTGAACATTATATCCTTCTCCCATATCACAAGGTACTGTCGTAGCATGCCCCCTGGTTACCTGATGTGTCACCCATGAAACCTCCAAAACCTGTGTTTCCTCCACTGTTGGGAACAGTTGCAGTGTTGCTGCTGCTGTTTCCACCTCTGTTGTTGGTGACAGTTGCATTGCCTCGTTGGGAACAGTTGCAGTGCTGCTGCTGTTTCCACAGTGTTCACACTTCAGGTGTGATTTGTCTTGTTTCTGTGTGAATGGTCGATTTTGCCCCTTGGATATGAATCCTGCACCTTCTGCTTCTCCTGTGACAGCTAGTCCTGCTGCCACACCTTGTTCTGATGTTGTTTCAGAGGCTTCTCCTATGATCTTCTGGTGAGCCTTTTCTTTTCTAACTGTGGCATAGGCTTCTTCTGAAGATGGAAGAGGGTCATATCTAAGTATTTCCCGTTTTATTGGGTCATACCTGTGATCCAAGGCATTCAGGAACTGGAACAGCTTTTGTTCTGCTCTAATTCTGTTGTATGTTGTGATGTCAACAGAACAGTTCATAGGATTTGGATCCCTTCTTTCAATTTCTCCCCATATTCCCTATAAAACGATCCACAGGTCTTCAAGGGGTATGCCTCTCTGTTTGATTTCATTGGCTTTGACATGAAGATCAAACAGTTGTAACTTATCTTTACCACTGCTGTATGTGACCACAAGAGCATCCCATAACGTTTTTGCTGTGGGAAATTCAGTAAGGTTGCTGGCAAGACTTGGTTCAATGTTCTGTATGAGCCATGAGAAAACAACTAAGTCATTTTGCTCCCATTGCTCATACCTTTCATTTGTTGCTTCTGGAGGATTACTTGATAAATGATTCAATAAGGATTTTGATTTCCCTCCAATTGCCACTCGAATCATGCGAGCCCATAATGCATAATTCTGGTTGTTCAAGGAGATGGAGATTTTGAGATTATCGGACAGGTTTTGTTTGGTGTTTTGAGCTGGAGTATTCAGGCCATTTTTGAGAAGGTTGATAAGCTCGGATAGGTGGCTATCATTGGTTGAGCTGTTGTCTCCGGACATGATTGAGCTGCTGAATCAAGGAATAAGAGCAGTTTTTAGGTCCTAAAACCTTCTAACCTGCTCTGATACCATATTGTAATTAGAAACCAAGCAACAATTATATGTTTGCTTATGGTTTCTTGTGTTTAGAAGGCTATGAAAATAGAAAGATAACAAACTGTTTCAGTTTCATATATGTGTTCTTAAATCAAAATGCAGGAAATGAATACATTTATACAAGTTATCTTCTAACTAGTATGTAGACCATTTGTTGGTAATCATTTTAGGAGGAGCTACACACATGCTGGAAGATGCTCACTTGCTGGAAAGAAGAAGCAAGGCTGGAAAGTCTAGAGCTGGAAAGAAGAAGCAAGGCCATGTGAGAGCTGGAAAGTCTAGAGCTGGAAAGTGTGGGAGCTGGAAAGTCTAGAGCTGGAAAGTATTCTAACACTTCTCTATTTTTAAAGCATAATTAAGTATTTTAAAAGCCTTAGAAAAGTTGCGTAGAACTTTCCTTTTGGGTGGTACTGAAGTAAACTCGAAGATAAATTGGGTGGCATGGTCCAACGTCAGAACTTCAAAGGAGGAAGGCGGTCTTGGGGTCGGTAGTTTACGTGCCTTGAACATCGCTCTCCTAGTAAATATGGTGGTGGACAATAAAGACTGAAAAAGGCCTCTCTGGTGTCATGTTATTCACAGGATACACAGTATCAACATGAAATCGAAATTATGCTTATCGAAGAAATCAAACCCATATGTTTGGAACAACATTAGCAAGGCTGCCATGAACATAACTTCCATTGGTATTAAGCGTAGCAATATTTTTCCCATGTTGTAGGTACCGGGGACGACACTCTCTTTGGATGGAGGACTGGTCGGGAGCAGACAAATTTCAAGTGAAATTCTCTAATCTTTATGCTATTGAGAAAACGATTAGATGCCTTCCTGCTGATCGCATTTCTCATGGGGGTTTGTCCCATGCTTCGAAGCGTCTATCCAACAATCCTTTAGAATCCATTGAACTTATTCAAATCACAACTATTATTGGGATTTTCAATTTTCATAATCGTCTAGACAGTTTCCATTGTATTCTGCAGTCAGATGGAATTTAAATAGTTGACTGCTTATAGAAACTAATTTATCAAAAACTTATTATAAAAAGAGGTGATGTACTCAATTGGCTAACGATGATTCCATTGAAAGTATATTTTTTGTGTGGAGAGTACGGATGGGCCGAATTCCAACTACTGAATTCCTACAGGTTAGAGGTGTCAACACTCATTCGATCTCATGCCGTCTTTTTATGAATGGGACAGAATCTTGGATCACTTATTAATTACCCGCCCGACTGTTACTAAGGTTTGGAACCATATCTTTTTGTGGTGTGGAATCTTATCCCAATAGGTGCAACCGTGCAACTAGTTGCGATCTTCTTAACTTCGTGGCTAATTGGGGGTAGAGGAAACTTCTTATAGCCATTTACTATGGTACAAATATGGAGCATTTGAAAGGCGACAAAAAGAAGTAGTATGTAACAAGAGATGATTCTTTATTTCTAATGTTGTTGATACCATAGTTTCCCTAATTTATGTTTGGCGAAAATACATGGGTAAAAATGTCTAAATTCCTTAGAGGTGTAGCTATCCTCTTAATTTTGTATAAACCTCAATGTACTTCTCTTGGGTCTAGTGTCTTAATAAACTAATATTTTAATGATACTTTTCGTCGGTTCCAAAATAAAATAAAATAAAGAACTATAGTACAATTGATTTAGTAATTAATTAAAGTATATATCGACAAACTTCTAGGAAAACTAATAAAAGAAGGCTTACTAAATTATCTCTTGAAACAAAAAATACATGACAACCCTATAGAACAACATACCACCAGTGATGCCAGTGCCAAGTTAATGATAACCAAACACTATATGATCCTAACCATTAAAAATGTATAGTTGCATGTTGGAGTGCTACTAGCTCAATCCACGTTAATCTTAATAAGTCCAATCTCACAAGAATAACAATGGACACTTGAGAGGTCTCCTCTCAGGTTGCTAGGGAATGTGGGTCTCCCACCTCTATGTATCTTTAGGAAGAGGTGTCTCCCCTCTTCAAGGTCTAGTTAAATGGGTCTCCACCATCGATCTTGTTGGTGATTTTAGTGTCACCATGTCATTTTATGTAATTGGAACTAACATATTAGCTAAGGGGCTTCATAATTTGTACTCTAATATATGTAAGGGTTTGTGCGGAGTGCACACATGTATAAGATCCAATTAGAAGCCGGTTCGACGACAAGTCGGGGGTACGGGGGCAGCGCCCTTGAGTCCGGGGTTTCCAAAGGGGCGGCGCCCCTTTGGGGGGGTCTAGGGTAGCGCCCCTAGCGAGGTCCAAGGGGCAGAGCCCCTAGCTGGGGTCCCGAATTTTACATATGGGAACATAGTGTAAAATTCAAATTCTTGAGGGTGATTATGGTCAAACTAACAAAACTCGTTAGTTTTGGAAACCCTAAATCCTCATTAAATTTTGGATTTCCTGACTTGCTTCTAAAACAACCCATGATGGCCAACCCTAATGAACCCTAATCTTGTTTATTATATAAACGACTCTTCTCTTTGAGAAGAGAGACACAAAAATCATTAGTTCTCTTTTTCTTCAAACGAACACAAAAATCCTTCTAGCAATTTGGCTTACGACTTCTGTGCCTATAATCGTAAGTGTCCTCTTGGATGATCCTAGGCTGGATTTCTTCCGACAGATCTAAGAACTAGGTAACCATAATCCCTAGTCCCATACAAGGGGAAGCTAGCCCTCATGTGTACATGATGATTATCTAGAAATCTACTCATAACAACTCAACACATAAAAGGATCCAAAGGACTTGACCACTCATGTCACCCATCCTATTATGTATGCGCAAATAAGATGCCAAAAACAATTTCCAAAAATAAATACCTTTTACTTTTATGACCAAACGATCTCAAAAATTTTATTTCATGAATGCACATATAGTTCACATAACAATCAAGATTTACATATGATATCATATTATGTAAAACAACAAAACTTATCAGAAACACAAACTAAGATAGGGGATGTGTGTTCCTAATAACCCACCTCAACTTCTAGCTTCATACAACCACATATTCTTCAATAGTGATCTCCCTGCAATTGCTACCTATAAGATTTAAGGTATAAGATTTAAGGTATATTACTAAAAATGATCAAATTAGCCTTAGTGTCGGAATATTCTTAAAATCTCTAATTATTCATTATTTAACTATCTAAGAGTAATGTAATTGGAATCATGTCAAATAGATAAGTAACGCTCAAGTTGGAAAAACACATTGCTTCACATAGCGTTTTACACGTCGTTCCCCTCTATGGAAACACGTTGCGTTCACTACAACGGTGCAATCACTTTTCAATTTCAATTTATTAACTCTTTGTAAATGTCTATAACCATTAAGCTCTTATAAACAATAATTGACCTGCCACCAACGACATCCAAACCACAAATTTAATCATTAAGCAACATCAATTAACTTACCTTAATCCATTAAGTTTTCACATTAAATATTGACATTTATTGATCATTAAACTTGTTTAATGAGTAAAGTAATTAATTCGCTCAAATGACTTAATAGAATTACCTTGAACCTCTTCTACTCAATTCACTTCCAACATAACATAACTAATACGAATGATATCTTTCCAAATCATCTAGATTGTAGAATTAACCTCTTAGGCATGAAATTCCAAATTTCATCCTCAATTACCATTTTGCCCTTGAAGTCAAACAATCACTAGAGCCATAAACTAATGAGGTGATTCTTCATGTTAGCTTCTCAACCTAAGTCCAATGTATCAATCCGTAATTATTGATTTCCTTTACATGGTTAACTTCACTAAACTAATTTAAATTCAATCAATGGAACTAAACATCTCCAGATTCATACAACCAATACTTGATTCTACTATCTTCATAACTTTGTGCATCCGTGGAGGATTTTGCATCAAAATTCAACTGATGATCATAGAATCATCTAGAGAGTAATCTAATCAACAATAACATCATAATCATGAGGATTAAGGTTTTGTGGTGAGATTTCCAAATCAAACTCAAATCCACCGAGGGATGTTAGATTTGAGCTAAAAACCATATCAATCAACATAAACTTATTATAAAATCGAAACCGTAACTCTCAAATGAGTTTAAAATTGGATCTAGCTTCACTTCCACCCATAAAACTTGAATTTAACATAAGGAATGATGAATTCATACATTGGAACTCTAGAATTCTTCACTTCAAGTACCAAAAGAACCCAACTATGCTTGAAATCAAATCTAGGAGGCTTGTTATGTGGAAATTTCCATTTCCTCTACCCCTCCTAATCGATCTAGTTTGCTGAAATGAAGAGGATGGAGCTCTTATTTGCTAATTTTCGCATTCTACTCCCACTTTTGTGTTTTTGACAAAAATGACCCAAACTTCCAATAAGCGCAACCTAAATGTGAGGATGACCATTCTAAGTCCCTTTCCATCCAACATGTGACTTAAATGGTCCACGGTCATCCAAGTGGATTAAAGACTTGGTCAACCACACTTTTGTCGGTTTTAACCTTTTAGCCCCTTATTTCCAAATGGTTGACTTTTTAAAACAAAATTTTACAAATTCTATTTGTAATTATCTAAAATGTTAAAATTTTATTTATTTATTTATTTATTATTATTATTATGTTTACGTGTTTTTATTTATTTTACTAATTAATCTCCTTACTAAATAAAATGAAAAAAAAATATAGCCCTAAATTTAGTATGTTACAATATCTTTTAAGGGAAAGTGTTACTATTGCCCAATGAAGTGATGGGCTATGCTTTTGTCCTTCTTTGGGCACCCTGTTGAGAAATAAATCAATAATTTGATGATTGAGCAAATAATAATCACATAAACTAAAATAATAAACTTATTTGGTGTGAATCCAATGTTTGAAGTGATAGTGGAAGACATTACTATAAGGTTTTTCTCTTGATTCTCTAAGGATACACACTTTTAGGATGGATTAGGGAAACCAATTTCTCCTTTGGTGTTCTTCACGTTCATGTTCTTTTTATCGAGGAAAAATAATATGAACATTTGAGAGAGAGAGAGAGAGAGAGAGAGAGAGAGAGAGAGAGAGAGAGAGAGAGAGAGAGAGATTTGTGTTATAAATGTGTTTCAAACAATAATTAGCAAATAGCCCCCTTATGTGATTAGTCATATTTACACAACCATCATGTGTAAATATTTAAAAAAAACGTAATATTATCTTAATTTTTTTAAAATATTTGTACGTCTTCGGAAAATTTGAACTCCTTTATGTCACTAAGACAATTCGAAAACCAATAAAAGAAGTTCGAAAATCAATTTCATCTTAAAATTTTAAAAAATATGTGTATGAGAATAAGATTTCTTTTTGAAAATATAAAACTTCAAACATAGTTATTTTTCAATTCTAAGTATATGGTCATTATATCGGACAGTTTTTTTTATTATTTTTATTATTTTATTTTATTTTTAAATAATTTCGCCACTAGTTAAATAGTCCTTTATCAAAACATAGTGAATTGAAAGAAAAAAAAATGCCAATTTGATTGAATTTTTTTTAGGAAGGCATAGGGGTAGGTTCTGGCTATATCAAAATCATTCCATGAAGACTAAATTGCACAAATGATTCCTGTGGTTTGTCGAAAATTGTCACTTTTGTCCAAAAAGGTTTGGACTAGCACCAGTGGTCCAAAAGTTTGATTTTGGTGCGAGTTTGATTCAATTTACTTTGAATTTTTTTAAAATGACAGATTTGCCCTTTTTTAATTTCATCTTCTATTTTTTTATTTTGTTATATTTTTTATTTAAATTAAACAAAAAAGATAAGAAATATGTTTCCAGTCCTCTCTCTCTCTCTCTCACTCACTCACCAGCATACTCTTTGTTTCTTCTCCGACGATGGAAACAGATATGCAAATGAGGGTTTGCTTCGAGCTAGGTTTTGCTGAGGAACAATCAAGTCGGAGGAGAAGATGAAAGGCGGCGAGAGGCAATATGTTTGCTTCTGACGGTGGTATCCCACAAACCGGCTTCCAGATCTAGACGGATGAGGATCTGGGCGGAGGAGGATCTGAATCGTCGTCACCAGATCTGTCGATTCAGGCTTTGTAAGGATGCATTTCAGATTCTCGGAGGTGGCTTCGTCTAGAAACCCTTAAGATCGACGACGTTCCAGATCTGTAAACGTCGTTGTCTTCACAAATCGACAACGTCCTTCTTCTTCGTTGAAACCCCTAATCCATATGAGATAAGGTGGCGGCGCTAGGGTTTCAGAAGTTGGTGATGGTTTTTGTCAAAAGTCGGGGTTATGGATACGGTTTCCAATGGAGAAGATGAACCAAGAAAGTGACAAAAGGGTCTCCGGTAGTGGGAATCGATTAGGTTTTGTTGTAGGTGATGGCGAATTTCAGATTTGTTGGAGGTTGCTGGTGACAGAGACGATTGGGGCTGAAGGCGGTGGGGCCAACGACGAAGACGGTGGTGGCGTCGACAATGATTTTGGATGACGGTGTTTTCCGTCGGTGACACCGGTTTCCGGCGATGACACTGGTTTCTGGGCTTTATGAAGTGTTCTTTAGAGCCATGAAGAACAAACGAAGAGGGAAGGAGAAATATTGGGGAAGAAGAAGAAGAAGAGAGAGAGGGAGAGAGAGAGAGAGAGAGAGAGAGAGAGAGAGAGAGAGTGTTAGAGAGAGAGAGAAATTTTATTTTCTTGTTTTTTAGAGAGAGATAGAGAGATTTATTTTTATTTTTATTTTATTGTTTTTTTTTTAAATCTGAAAATCAGGAAAACAAATAAGAAAAAAGATAAAATATATTAACAGGGGCAAATCCATCATTTTAAAAAAAATCAGAACAGATTGGACCAAAGACCAAACAAAATGAAAGTTTTGGACCATTTGTGCTGGTCCAAACTTTTTTGGACCAAATGTCAATTTTCGACATACCAAGTTTTGTCTTCCATGAATAAAACGTTGTCTAAATTGGTGATCTGCTTTGAGAATTGATTTCGATTATCAACAGTCAACCTCAACGTTTTCTCACTTATATTTATATTCCATCATCACCCATCGTCTTCTTCCTGTCTTCCTTTGATCCTCTCAGCTACTCATCGCATTCAGATCTCCGATCCCAAGCAAATAATGGCTGAAACACCGCCGTCTGCCGACAATCCAACTCTCTTTTCTCCATTCAAGATGGGCAAGTTCAATCTCTCTCACAGGTCCGTTGTTTCGATCCTTTCTTCTCTTCACTTTCTTTTCACACTTCATTTCCCCCTAAAATATCCTTCAGATTTTGAGCTTGATCCAGTCTTGACCGATGAGTATACTGTGTTTTGGTTGTAGGGTGGTGTTAGCTCCGATGACGAGGTGTAGGGCGTTAAACAGTATACCGAATCAAGCTCTGGTGGAGTATTACAGGCAGAGAGCAACCGCCGGTGGGTTTCTCATCACGGAGGGGACAATGATCTCTCCTACGTCCGCCGGGTAATTTCGCTATTCCTTTTGTTCTTCAAGGGTGTTTTAGTAAATCAACATTCCAACATAATTCACCGCGACAAACCATATAAAACCGCCACGTGGCAATTCTTAATTCCTTACATAGTGCTATGTGGGACCTGCAGTATAGACTATTATTAAAGTCACGCCATTATTAAAGTCACATTCTCTTTATAAACACTTTATCAAGTCTTTATGACTAAAAATGTGTTTTTTTCGTTGCTAACCCTTGTACTTTATAGTGAGATGCATAATGTGGATCTTATGAACCATTAAACAATGATACAAGCTACTTGTGTTCTAAAGTTAAAGATTCCATTTTGATTCTTAATGTAAAAATCCCATTTCGTTTAGCAATACCCCTTTATTCATCGATCATTATAAAGCCCAAATTAACGATCTTTCTGGTGAAAAAAAAAAAACCCCATTTTGGTGATCAGGTTCCCTCACGTACCAGGTATATTTAATCAAGAACAAGTTGAAGCTTGGAAGAAAGTCGTGGATGCAGTTCATGAAAAAGGCGCTGTGATCTTTTGTCAATTATGGCATGTCGGCAGAGCATCCCACCAAGGTATGCTTTCTTCCATCTAAAAGTCTCAAAATCTCAACATTTTAAACCTAAATTCGAATCGAAAGTGATCATTGTGTTGAACAAACAGTATATCAACCTAATGGGGTTGCACCAATATCATCTACAAGCAAACCCATATCGAAAAAATGGAGAATTTTAATGCCAGATGGGACCCACGCTCAATATCCAAGCCCTCGACCAGTCGCCACCCATGAAATACCGGAGGTGGTGGAAGACTATCGTCTGGCAGCCATTAACGCCATTGAAGCAGGTTTTGATGGAATTGAGATTCACGGAGCCCATGGTTACCTTCTCGATCAATTCATGAAAGATGGCATCAATAATCGAACTGATGAATATGGTGGATCTTTAGCAAACCGATGCAAATTCTTAATGAAAGTGGTGAAATCGATAGCTACAGCCATTGGTGCAGATAAAGTCGGTGTTAGAATCTCACCAGCTATTGACCATTTAGACGCCATGGATTCTGACCCACGTAGCCTAGGGCTTGAAGTAATTGAAAGACTGAATAAACTTCAGGTTGAATTAGGGTCAAAGTTGACTTATCTTCATGTGACTCAACCAAGGTACACGGCTTATGGTCAAACAGAAGCTGGAAGCCATGGAAGTGAAGAGGAAGTTGCTGAGTTGATGAAGATATGGAGAAGGGCATTTATGGGAACTTTTGTTTGTAGTGGTGGGTATACTAGAGAGCTTGGGGTTGAAGCTGTGGCTAAAGGGGATGCTGATTTGGTGGCTTATGGAAGGCTTTTTATATCGAATCCGGATTTGGTTTTGAGACTTAAGGTTAATGCACCTTTGAATAGGTATGTTAGGGCTAGTTTTTATACACATGATCCTGTTGTAGGGTACACTGATTACCCTTCACTTGAGAAAGGAAATGGGAATCTTGAGAGGTTGTCACGCATGTAGTTGTTTGTGGTTATAATGATTATAATTGATATGTAATATGTAGTTTATGATACGTGTTTTATTGATTAATGTGAAAGTTTGCTTATGAATGAAATAAGTATTTCTTTTTGCATATTCACTATTGCTAATTTTGTATGCTCTTTTGAAAGTTTCTCTATAATTTCTTTCTTCTTGACGGATGAAACTTGTTTTGAAATCTGAGTTCTTGTGTTTGTTAATATTGTCTATTTATGGGTCATTATAGTGGTCCATGTAATCAAAGGTGAAGAGTAACTCCCTTGTCATTTACTATAGTCTATTCTTCACTTTTGCAAAGTCAGACCTAGTAATTTTCAAATTAGAAGATGATATAAATCTTTAGTTATTTGGCTCTAAAAGTGTTTTAGTTTGCTAGCAATCTCTATATCGTTAAACGTAATTCGTAATTGAAAAACTGCAACAAAAAAAGTTCTAATCATCTTTTTAAGGAGAAACCAGGTCCTTTGACCCCAAAGTCAAACTTTTTTATGCAGCCTTTTCACCGTTAAAGATGAGATTAGGAGGAAGTTTGCAAGATGAACTTGTCCATGAAACCAAAGATGGGATGAACTAAAAACATCTCAACGCGCATTATGTAATTCTAACCCTAGTTGCATGCTTCTATCCATATGGGGATGAACTAAATAGTTTCTGTAATGAAATCGGGTAACCAAATAACGTCTTTAATTAATTAAAATCTACGCAAATGCAACATCATACATTCAATATTTTCTTATTAGGATATTGTACTTTGAAAAATTATACTCAATTATAGCACTTAAATTTACTTTGTGTTTGGATGGCATTAATAGGAAGAAAAAAAAAGTAGGATGTTATAATGAACAAATAAATGAAAGTATATTATTATTTCTTGCAACAACAATACCAATAGACCCAGAGATCGGATCCCACCACTGAGATGATGTAAGGGGAAGGTAGTAGACTGCGTCACTTAGATGACCTCCAACATGTGTAATTGGTAACTGTAGAAAAGATAACCAGGGGAAAATAAATCCAAGTTAGCAACAAGACATAAACATGAGAGGCTCAAATCTAGAGCATATGGATCCGAGAACAAAAGGTGATACTACTCTTAGAGCAAGAAATAAACATTATTAGTTCTTCCATTTAACCATTTTCTTTCGGCATGGTGAAAAATCTTTAAACCGTGTTTATAGGGAATCAGTTAAGTGGCAGAAATAGCAATGCACTTTCATTTTTTATTTTATATTATAGCATCCTACTTTTATATCTTTGTATATCAACATTATAATTTTACTATTTTTTATTAAGGTATTGCACCCCAAACATTTATGCAACATAACATTGTACTTTCAATAATTTTCTTATTAAGATAGTGTACTTTGAAAATATACTCACTTATAGCATTGAAAGTTTTTTTCTATATTTTAATCACATTGTTATCACTGTGTAGATTTTTCGAACTATAATTCTATAATTGGAAGAAATAAAAGTAGGATACTATAATGAACAAACAAATAAAAACATCTTATTTCTTGCATTTAACGCATGATTTTATGCAATGCGTTAAGTGGAAGTTGAGTTGGAGCAAGAGTAACATCTCAATACGTTATTGACATAACTACCCTCAAGAAAGTAGTACAAGAATTTTATGATCGGATTGAACCTAAGTCACAAGTTATCTCACCATGATGATTCTTTGATGCAAAGCGGTTCACGAAGTTCATAAACAAAACAACCGACATCCTTGATGTATTCACTCGCCATATATATTACAATATTGGCCCAAGTTGTAAGAACCTAGATTTTTGGTATAAAGTGCTCTAGATTGCTATTTTATGTTTAAGGGCATTTTAGTCTATTTGTGAAATTATGACTTGTAGAATGGTATTAAGTATCTAATATATGTTTTGTTTGATGTTTGAAATAATGACATCTGAGTTAAACATGGAGAAAAGAGTCAAAATTAATAGGTATAAGATTTGGGTATTGAAGTGTTTTTAAAAAGGGCATGAAAGCTGATTCCAACTCTACCACGATGCGGTGGCTAGGTGTAACGTTCCAAAATTTTAGACCAAAAATTTCATTTTTATAATAACAAAACCATCATCCAAAACGTTTTCATAAAACCACAAAAGAAGATTAGAGTATGTCAATAATCATCCAAATACATTAAGTCAACAAAATGCGGAACATCATGGTGTGTGCGATGCGATCATCCCGAACCCTTCCCCTTTGATCCGGAAGTACCTGAAACATAATCTAAAAACCATAACAATGAAGCTTAGTGAGTTCCCCAAAATACTGAATACCATACATATCTGTCAGCTCAAGGTTGTGCCGAGTCTATTTCACCCCAGGTCTATTTCACCCATGAGTCTATTTCAACTCATGTGTCGGCCCAAGGGCGTACTGGGTCTATTTCACCCCCGGGTCTATTTCACCCCTGAGTCTATTTCAACTCATATGTCAGCACAAGGCTGTACCGGGTCTATTTCACCCAACATACATATAGCAAACAGACACACATGCATATAACACATACAACAGGAGTCACAAAGACTACAAGCACATAACATATCCTAGTGTCCTACAGTATAGTGAGCAAACTCACCCCAATCTGCTGACAGTGAAACAAATGATCGGGCTTCTGAACCGGAAAATCCTCACTAAATCACAAGTAAAAAACCCAAATTAGAAATTAGGTCAATAATCCAACCTGCGAGACTAAACCCTTAATCTTGGCCTCAAGGGAAAAAGTTACTTATTCCTTGCCTTATTGGGCCTAACCTATCAAGGCCCAAATGCTACTAGCCACGAAGCCCTAAAGATAATCTATGTCTAAAATGGGCCCAAGACCAAAGGCCCATCATAGAAAAGATTACAGCCCAACAAGGGCCCAAAGTCCACTCTGGAGAGTACGCTCAACGTACTAATCAGTACGCTCGTCGTACTTGATGGGTTTTAGGTAAAACAAATAAACTAGAAAACAATTCCTCAGTTCACATGCAACCTACTTTGGATCTATGTTTTAACTATTGAACATATAACTTTGAATTGCAAACAAGAACCCTAGAGGATAGAGGCTATTTTCGAAAATAACTAACTAGGGTTTAAGAGTTACATACCTTTCAATTGTTATAGTAAACAATTGATAATCCTCTTGAACTTGATCTTCTTGGAAGCCTAGCACCACAAATGTAATGCCTCTAATGGAATCACACCCAAGAATTAGCAAGAAGGAAACTTGAAGGAGAGAGAGAGAATATGCAAAATCGGCCCTAGGGTTTCACCAAAGAAGGAGTGACCGAATTTAGGAGCTGGGAGGCTCCTTATATAGCTGAGGGATCTAGGGTTTAGGGAAAACCCTAATAATCCTTTGCTTGGGGCCTAAGCTAATCCAAAGGCCTTATCCAAAGCCCCTTGGACGAAATCCTTAGGGTTTCCCCTATAGATTTCGTTCACCTCCTTCCAAGGAGGTTCTGGAGCCTTCCACTCAACTATTAGATAATTGCAAACTAGTCCCTACACTTTATAATTAATACTTTTAACCCCAAAATTAATTCTGATTAATTTCTGGCTAACTATTCATTAAACATAATGATTTCTAATTAATATATTAATCTTTTAACATATTAATAAATCATTTATATCAATTTATTAATCTTATAATAAATCAATATCTCTCCTTTCATAATTTCCTTGTCCAGTTGCTAGGTTTGAGGGCAACCCAAAAGGATTGTGCTGCTATCAATTCAAGTACATACCAATTATTGTTATGGGCTTAGACACCTAATCCAACAGTCTCCCACTTGGATAAGTCTGTAACTATAATTGCTAGTATGCCTTCTAAATTTGACCAGCAAATTGTAGCTTCCAAAAGCTGCTGCTGAACTTTGACCCAGTCAGTTACGTGTCCTTAGATAAGTGATCATATAATCCTTCGTTCTGCAAGATATCCCCAAACATAAGACATGGAACGAAATCAACCTCTTTGTCCAGAATCTATGTTTCCCGATTTCTGATTTGTGATGATGTAGGACTTCTAATTGAACACATCAATTTAGTCCTGGCTGGGCCCAACACATAAGTCAACACCAAATCATCGAGGGGCCCACAGATATCGCTTTTCCGGTTAGGGCAAAAGGAACAAATAAACGTTGACTCATATGCTTGTATCTTTTACTCATCAAATTATACATGACAATACGTTTTATAACACCAAGTTACTGATGCGTTTTCGTATCACCAATGTATAACCGACTTTGTAAATTACAACTCATATATCTTCGTTTCAAGATTATAAGATATTATCGTCTCAGTATTACTCGTGATGAATTCCATGAAGTGATACTCTGAGCGAGGGTTTATCCAATACTCAAATCTCAATTTCCGAGTACTCATGAACGTTGCAGCAATTCTATTGCCATGTCTATCCTTAGACAATCTACAATCCAGTTCATGACAGTCTTAATTCACTCCTTACGTCCAAAAGTACGAGCGACTGTGGAGTTTGAATAATCAAATTATTCGGGAAGTAAAACATGCAAAATATGAAACACAATAACAAACAATCGACAAAAGGCAGTAACCAAACTTATAAATAATACTTTATTATTTAATCACCAAAAGTCAATTACATTTACTTTGTTACAAGTTTCAGAACAAAACTAATCTAACTACTAAAACTAATATCATCTTTCAGTCCTATGCTCCGAGCATGCTGAATATGCTTAGCCCTACTCAGACCCTTTGTGAGGGGATCTGCTGGGTTATCTTCATATGACACCCTCTTTACTACAAGATAGCCTTCTTCTACTCTATGTCTGATAAAATGGTACTTTCTGTCGATATGTCTGGTTTTACCATGATCTCTTGGTTCCTTTGTCAAGGCAACCGCTCCTTCATTATCGCAGAACAGTTCCATAGGCTCCTGGATGGTAGGAACAACTCCGAGATCTCCGATGAAGTTCCTTAACCAAGCTGCTTCTTTCGACGTTTCACTCGCTGCTATGTACTCTGATTCACAAGTAGAATCAGCCACCGTATCTTGCTTGGAACT